TATTACTTGAAAATTGTTTAGAAATTCTCGGAAGATTGGAATACGTGGGAAATATAAAGAATTGATCAGAATCTTAATGATATTACAACACTTCAATAATGTCAATTCACAACATTTCCCGGAAGCAATAAACGTAATAAAATCCTTTCCTCTTGAGAAGGACAAGGAGTCGACCAGACCGAAGGAAGCAATATTCAGCGGAGTGGTTCTCAAGTGCAACTCAGTAAATACCACCAACCGGTCCATCAATAGAGAATTATTTCTGACAGAACCAGTCGCTTAGATAACTCTCGGATTTGATTAAATAGATTGCTGGGAGGGTGTTCCCCTTGTCTATTGCTCCCGTGAATCTCTGTAGACGAGTCCCTGTTGGAGTGTCGCAGCACTACCAAATCATTAGACACAACCGTGTTGGTCTTGCTGTGTTATGGCGCAGTTCTAATAGGCACAAAGGGATATTGAGACACTTGTCACCAAATCCATCAACAGCACTTTTCAAAGCAGACATACTCTTGAAGCTGTATCCCTCTGCGGCCATTTGTTTAACGTCACACCAACGGCAATTAATGTGTTTGCAGTGAAACATCATTCTTCCGGATGGTGCTGTTCTCAGTGAAATCGTTCTGATGAACAAGTTTTCCGGATTATCGAGTCGTATTATGTAACAGTGAAATGTTCCCTTGGGTCACAGTCAGATCCGTGGACCTGGGCGAATTCTCAAATTCCCGCCCTTGTATTACCAATGGCTAGACTAATTGACATGACATGGCCATTAACGTAGGACTTAATTTTAAAGTTGTGTACTGATATAAACTGAAAAGGGAGTGAGTAAGTGAGTTTGAATAACGCCGCCTAGCATTATTTGGGTGTGTCAGTTTAATGTGGGTGGAAAGCCCGAAGTGATGCATGTCTTAGACGTATACCTCTCAGGTGACCCACGAGCACGGGTATGGTGCTGAGAAATCTTTAAACATAATCAGAATGAACGGGGATTTCATTTTACGAATATAAGATTCTGGCACAGCTAAGGGACGCGAGTTGCGCCGCCTTAAACGACGGAGCTTCTTGTGGCCTCGACTTTCTAGTGTATATAATACGCTCTTGAAGAAAATGCGCATCCCCAATTTCTACGACTGGGCACACGCGCCTCCAACAACCCTCGATGACGATACAATACGTCATAATGTAAAACGTAATTTCAGGCACGGCGTCTAATGACAAAGGGGCTGTGCTTTTCAGCTACGAAATTAAAGAAAAACCTAAAGTGTTACGAAGAATATATGGATTATCTGTCCGAATTATCAGTAAAATATAAAGGTTCTGTCTGTAAATGACCAAGGTTCTGTCTGTAAAAGATCCAGGTTCTGTCTTTAAATGACCATGGTTCTGTCTTTAAAAGATCAAGGTTCTGTCTGTAAAAGACCAAGGTTCTGTCTGTAAAAGATCCAGGTTCTGTCTATAAAAGATCAAGGTTCAGTCTGTAAATGATCCAGGTTCTGTCTATAAAAGATCCAGGTTCTGCCTGTAAAAGATCCAGGTTCTGTCTGTAAAAGATCCAGGTTCTGCCTGTAAAAGATCCAGGTTCTGTCTGTAGAAGATCCAGGTTCTGTCTGTAAAAGATCAAGGTTCTGTCTGTAAAAGATCCAGGTTCTGTCTGTAAAAGATCAAGGTTCTGTCTGTAAAACACCAAGGTTCTGTCTGTAAAAGATCCAGGTTCTGTCTATAAAAGATCAAGGTTCTGTCTGTAAATGATCCAGGTTCTGTCTATAAAAGATCAAGGTTCTGTGTGTAAAAGATCCAGGTTCAGTCTGTAAATGATCCAGGTTCAGTCTGTAAATGATCCACGTTCTGTCTGTAAAAGTTCCAGGTTCTGCCTGTAAAAGATCAAGGTTCTATCTGTAAAAGATCAAGGTTCTGCCTGTAAAAGATCAAGGTTCTGTCTGTAAACGATCCAGGTTCAGTCTGTAAAAGATCCAGGTTCTGTCTGTAAAAGATCCAGGTTCTGTCTGTAAAAGATCCAGGTTCTGTCTGTAAAAGATCCAGGTTCTGTCTGTAAAAGATCCAGGTTCTGTCTGTAAAAGATCCAGGTTCTGTCTGTAAAAGATCAAGGTTCTGCCTGTAAAAGACCCAGGTCCTTTTCTGCTACAAAATTAAAGAAAAACCCAAAGTGTTAGAAAAGAATATATGGATTATCTGTCAATTTAATTTGAACCTTTGTGAGGGAATTTCTACAATACCTCAGGGGGACAGGTAATCTTTTATTCCGACATCCAAATAGATTATAATTTAATTTACCTATAAACACTGTCATGATCAATAGATGACGTCATGCACTGACAAGACGTCACGTTGGTAAGAGCAGCTTCCCGTCCCTCAAAGCGATCTTAGCGCTAGGACGATCATTAACATTGACTTACAATCAAAACAAGGGTATAGCCCATTCGGTGCGTCTCAGGCAGTCCAATAGAATCTCGGTCAGAACTGTCTGGAATCCATAGAGGAACAAGTTTCGAGCACGTGGCTATCGCATGACGCCGCAAAAGCCGGTGTCAGGCGTGAGCCTTATATAACATATAATTGTTCAAACTGTTTCCCATTTGCTTTTCTCTTCAAATCACAGCGGATACCTAATTTCTGTAAAACACAGAATAACTTGTCTTCCAAAGCCACTGCCGTGTTTTTTCGAATTACGCAAATTACAAGGATCTTTCTATACATGATCAAGGTTCTGTCTGTAAAAGATCAAGGTTCTGCCTGTAAAAGATTCAGGTTCTGTCTGTAAATGATCAAGGTTCTGTCTGTAAAAGATCCAGGTTCTGTCTGTAAAAGATCCAGGTTCTGTCTGTAATTGACGAAGGTTCTGTCTGTAAAAGATCAAGGTTCTGTCTGTAAAAGATCCAGGTTCTGTCTGTAAATGACAAAGGTTCTGTCTGAAAAAGATCCAGGTTCTGTCTGTAAATGACCAAGGCTCTGTCTGTAAAAGATCAAGGTTCTGTCTGTAAATGACCAAGGTTCTGTCCGTAAAGGATCTATGTGTTGTATGTAAATGACCAAGATTCTGTCTGTAAATGACCAAGGTTCTGTCTAAGTTCTGTTTATGATGGTCAAAATTCTGTCTATATCTCTGTGCTTTTCCATAGCCACGTTGTGCATTTTTTAAGCCTTGACATATTATTCAAGGGCGTTAGGCGTGTGGAGGTGTAAATCGGATTAGGTGTTTGTTTAGTTTCAAACTTTGAAACATTAACCAAATTAAGAGATATTTTCAATACTTTTGTTGTCAAATTATATTCAAATAAGCTTTGCCGCTACTTCAAAGGATGGTAATACCGTCAGATATGACGTCGTATCAATTCTTAACACGATCCTTGTCATGATGTATTTGAAGCTTTTCATGTTGACATCATTACCTTATCACATATTTGGTTGATTTAATGAGCATGTACATCTGTTTGAACTTACACTCATATTTTTGGCCACATTAACACTTTATGACAAGTTATTGTTCAAATTGTTTAGGAAAACAAAGTGGCACAAAGAGCAAAAGTCACACTAGCACAGCGTTCTCACACAACTAATAATGTTTAAGTTTTACACAGAATGACAAGGTCGATAACGGTGAATGTCACTTGCTTGGATGAAAGTATGTTTTTTTATCAGCTTTCGACTGATGTCTCTATTGATTATCGGTGGTAATTGTTGCTTCCTCGCTTTGTCGTTGTATTCCAATGTATACTCTTCACACAAAAATAAGCAACAAAGATTAAATTCGGTGACCAGTATTTATCACCGAAAATGTGTATCCCATTGTTAAGTCGTGTGAATGTGTGACCTGATTCGGTGACTAATTTAGCAGATCTTCTAACCTCACATACTCGTGATGTATTTCTTATCAGCATTTAACTGACCATTGTATTTTACGACCGGAAACTTTTGGAATCACTGGGGGTGGGACCCACGAAGACCCTGGTAGAATAGGTCTTCAGCAACCCATGCTTGCCGTAAAAGGCGGCTATGCTTGTCGTAAGAGGCGACTAACTGGATCGAGTGGTCAGGCTTGCTGACTTGGTTGATGCATGTTATCGTATCCCAATTGCGTAGGTCGATGCTCATGAAGTCAATCACTGGATTGTCTGGTCCAGACTCGATTATTTACAAACCGCCGTCATATAGCTGGAATATTGCTGACTGCGGCGTTAAGCAAAAAAACAAAAATAAACAAACAAACAAACACTGGGCGTGGGTTCAACTCAAAGAGTCGCAGTGATTACGATCTTGACCAAAACACGTCCACGACCGGCGTCACGTCAGGCGCTATTGTAATTGAACATGTAACTGAAATATGTTCGAGAGGCTTTAGACCCAACTCACTCAGCCACTAACTCAGGGCACGCATTCCTCCAACATGACATGCTGCCCTTGAAGAGCCGGCTGGGAATAGGTCTTCAGCAACCCATGCATGCCGCGAAATGCGACAAAAGGGATCGAGTGGTCAGGCTCGCTGACATGATTGATGCATGACATCGTATCACAATTGCTTAGATCGATGCTCATGATGTCAATCACTGGATTGTCTGGTCCAGACTTGACATAGGCCTTCGTCATATAGCTTGAAAATTGCTGCGTGTGGCGTCTAACAACAAACAAACAAACACATCACACGCCTAGGCCTAACTCACTCACTCACTCACTGAGGTCAAGCATTCCTCCCACGTGACATGCCGTGATATAACTGGTATATGTTGAAAGCGGCGTTAGACCTAACTCAATCACTCACTCACTCACTGAGGTCAAGCATTCCTCCCACGTGACACGCCGTGATATAACTGGTATATGTTGAAAGCGGCGTTAGACCTAACTCACTCACTCACTCACTCACTGAGGTCAAGCATTCCTCCCACGTGACATGCCCTGAGATGGCCAACATACTCAACCACTCACTCACTCACTGATGGTGACGTTGTCAATGTTGACGGTAACGACTGCTACTTCTTCTCTAG